CAATGAGTCAGCTCTTTGCATCAGGTGGCCAAAGTATTGAAGCTTCAGCTTTAGCATTGGTCCTTCTAATGACTTATTCAGGGTTGATTTCCTCTGGAATTGACTGGTTTGATCTCCTTGCTGTCCAAGGACTCTCAAGAATCTTCTCCAGCACTGCCAGTTAAAAAGCATCAATTTTTCAGTGCTCAACCTTCTTTATGGAGCATTGTAGGTGTTCAATATTGGTTGAATCAAGAAATGCTAATTCCAAGATTCCAAGCTTCCTTCCAAAGCTGAGAACTGACTGCCATTATTCATTCATTCAAAATTCATCTGTTGGGCACCCTCTGTGTGCCAGAGCCTGTCTGGGTGCTGGGAGGACTACAGTGGGTAAGGCAAACAGACCCTCCCTTTAAGGGGTGAGGTCAGTGGTCTGAGGACATCCTGGTTGACTTGCTGGCCTTGGGTGGTGGAGAGAGAAAGGGGCTCGTGTCCTGACAGACATGGATTGCTGGCTCTCAGTCAGCTCTTGCAGAGCTGGGTTAACCATGAGGCTGACACAACCAGGAATGATATCCTTGTTGCCTTTATTGCCTGCTGTTCCTTCATCATAAGTGGAGAAGAAATGAAAAAGTGATGCCAGAAACCTCTCTGCATTCCTCCCACAGGCCCAGCTGGGTCTTTGCTTGTGGATCTAAGCTCTGCCCTACTTTCTGGCTGCCCTGCACTTTGCATCCCCCACGTCAGGGATGTTCCTACCCTAGTGGCCACAGCTCCCCGACAGAGATGCCAGAAGACACACATTCCCAGCCTCCCTTGCAGCTTGGTGGAGGCCTGGGACTTGGGGCTCCACCAGTCAGACACGCCTGCTAGAGATGTACATCCAGAGAAGGGCAGGACAAGAGGTATGGAGGAGAATGGACCTGGCCCTCAAGGATGCATTGGGAGGGGTCCCAGGAGAGTAAGCAGGCTCCATTCTGGACAGCCCTTCCAGAAGACCTGGGCCTTGTTCCTGGCTGAATAGCCCTCAGTCCTAACTCTGTGGCTCCCCGGGAAGACAAGTACTAACAGGTATTAAGAATGTTCATTGGAAGGACTGATGATAAAGCCGAAGCTCTAATACTTTGGCCACCTGATGTGACAAGCTGACTCATTGGAAAAGACCCTGATGCTGGGAAAGACTGAAGGTGGGAGGAGAAGGGGGCGGCAGAGGATGAGACAGTTGGATAGCATCCCGACTCAGTGGACATGAACTTGAGCAAACTCCAGGAGATAGCGGAAGACACAGGAGTCTGGCGTGCTGCAGTCCATGGGATCACGAAGAGTTAGATATGACTTAGTGACTGAACAGCAAGAACAAGATTATTCATGTTCTCTGACTCCTAAGTCCCTCTTCTGGAATTCTATACTGAGGAAATAATCACAAAGAGTGAAAAATGTACAGAGATGTTTGCAGTAGAATTATGTAGAGTACTGAGGAGTCAGAAACTACCTAAACACCCAGTGATCAGGGAATGGGTTCAGTTAATTAGGCAATGATCCCAAAAAGAAGACAAGAACTGATTCCTCCAGCAAAATGTTAGTGGGATGCTCAGGGTTAGGTACATCCTTGAGTGGCCAAGAAAACCCCAAAATAACAGGTGAAAGAAAAGCTTGTTTTTCTCTCTTACACAAGAGAAGTGTGGAGGTGTTGGTCCAGGACTGGTGGGGTGGCTTCATACATTCGTCAGAAACGTGTGTTCCCTTTCTCTTGTGGTTCTACCATGGCCCAAGATAGGCACTCAGTTCTGGCCACAACTCTGCATTCCAGCCAGCGAGGAGGATGGGAAAAAGAGCACAGACACTCTCGGTAAGGACTTGGACGTTATATCCCACTGGCCAGACTTCCCTGGTGGCTCAGAGGTTAAAGCGCCTGCCTGCAATGCGGGAGACCTGGGTTCAATCCCTGGGTCGGGAAGATTTCCTGGAGAGGGAAATGGCAACCCACTCCAGTATTCTTGTCTGGAAAATCCCATGGATTGAGGAGCCTGGTGGGCTACAGTCCGTGGGGTCACAAAGAGTTGGACACGACGGAGCGACTTCACTTTCCCATTCTCCACGACTTGTCACATGGACACTCTTAGCTTCAAGAGAGGCTGGGGAGGGACTTGCCTGTTGGTCCAGTGGTTTAGACTCCAAGCTTCCGATGCAGAAGGCACAGGTTTGATCCCTTATTGGGGAACTAATATCCCACATGCCACACGGTATAGCCAAAAAAAAGGCTGGGGAACGTAGTTTTTTTTTCTGGGTGGTCACTTGCCTGGCTAAAATTTGAGATTTCTATTACTAAAGAAGAGGGAGAGATCAGAGAATTAGAGGGAAGCATGGGTCTTTGCCACAATAACAACGATGAAAATAACGTCCAAGAGGATTCTGTAATAACATTTAAAAATTGTACAGTTTAGGAAAAGCAAGATTTGAAATTGTATGTAGCGTGTGATTGCAACTGCCCAACAAAATTTCTAAACAGAGGAAGCCACTCGAAGGACAGAACTGGTGGAAAGTTATCCTTTGTGAGGAGTCCTATCAGAGATGTGTTCTGTATTTTCCTAATGTCAGTAATAGAGCAGGCCTAAGTTCCTGAAAGAATCCCTGTGAAGATTATAGAATCTACCTGAGCTATAGTTCATGTCATGCAAGTTTTTTCCTCGAATGTGCCGAGGTGGCCAGACGGGGAAAGAAGAAATGAAACGATCTCGAGTCACAGACAACATGATTGTGAATGGAGAGAAAGCCAAGGAACCCACAGAAAGTGGTTAGAAAAAGAGGGCCCTGGGACTTATCACAGGTTCAAGTCGCAGCTGTGCTGAAATGCCAGCTCCGTGACCGGGGACAAACCAGCTGCCTCCCCGCGTCTGCATCTGTGCTGGGGAAGGAAGAAGAGCCTCCGCCTCTGGGTGTGATGAGGGCCCAGAGGAAGCAGCTCCCGCAGAGAGTAGGCAGCAGGGCTTGGCGCCGAGCAGGCTCTCCACCAGACGCTCTCGGCTGATTCCGTCCTCCTAGGGGACTTGCGGCAGTGTCGGGAGACCTTTACCACTGGGGCAGGGAAGAAGCTACCGGCATCTAGTGGACCAAGGCCAGGGATGCTGTTCGCATCCCGCAATGCACAGAGCCGATTCCCTCCCCAGGGACTGTGCTGTGGGCTGCGCTCAGGCGCGCAGTCGAGTCCGACTCTTTGCGACCCCATGGACGGCAGTCCGCCAGGCCCCTCTGTCCATGGGATTTCCCAGGCAAGAATACTGGAGTGGTTAGCCAGTCCCTTCTCCAGGGCATCTTCCTGACCCAGGGATTGAACCTGAGTCTCAGGCATTGCAGGCATCTTCTTTACCATCTGAGCCACTGGGGAAGGCCCTACAGAGACCACCCAACCCCAGATGTCATTGTTCTGAATTGAGAAGCGTTGCTCTTAGCACGCCTCGGTGTTCCCACCGTGAGACTTGCTTCCTGGCATTTGCTGTCCTGAACCGCGCAGCTGTGGTCAGCGGGGTCACACGCCAGTGGGCACGTGTTCTGAGCGTAGCGCCGCTACGGCAGCCCTGCTCTGCCCTTCCCTAGCCTCCTGGATGCCCTCGAGAGGTCTCCTGCCTCTTATCTCGGGCTCTAAACTAGGCGTTTGGAATGTGGGAGCTGGGAGAAGGCTCAGGACTGCCGCCGGGTCCCCGTGCAGTGATGAAACCCGCGGCCTCGTGGGGCGCTTTCCACCCTGAGCTTCCTACGCTGTGGCTCGCCCCGCTCCTTGCCTCCACCCGAAACCCCCCTAGGCAGGCGCTGCCGTCACCTCCATGTCAGAGAAGAGCAAACAGGCTGGGAGGCACAACAGGAGACAGCAGTTGGCCCCAAGGGCGGCTGTCTGTCCCCAGGCCTGGCTGGTCTGGCCCCGGGGTCCCTGTCCCGACCGCACGTCAGAACCACCTGGGGACTGAAAACCCCCGGGTCCCGCGTGGCCCCACTGACCCCATCAGGTCAGCCTTGGGTTTCGGAATCAAGCTGATCCTACCTTGACTCTTGGCTCCTCCACTTTCTGGCTGCGTGACCTGAGGTCTGTGACTTTACCTCTCTGAGCCTCAGGTTTGTGCTCTGAGAAAAAAGGGATAGCATTAGCTGCCCCTTCAGAGGATGGCCATGAGGATTCAGCAAAATGCCCCATGTCACAGCCTGAGTGTGGGACTTGGTGTGCAGTAAGCATGTGTTGAATTGTGGCTTTTATTTTCATTTTTGGAGCAAGGTTTAGGCACGTGTGTGTGAGTGTGTGTGTGTTTAAGCTCTTTAATTAATTCTGTTGTGCCTGGCTAGTTACCTATCAATTCATCCATTATCTATCCAATCATCTATCCATCCATCCAATCATCTATCCATTCATTTATCCAACACATTTATTTAACACAAACTGTGTGCCTGGCTGGGCTTCAGTCCCTGAGGACACAGAAGTTCCCCTCATGAAACTGACAATAGCAGTGTTGAGAGAACAGAGTGGAAAATAAATGAATAAATATGTTACATAGAGTCATATGTAAACAGCACGGGACGGAACTCCTCTTCCGGATGGGGTGAGACGCCCATGTCATCTGTCTGCCTTTCTAGACCCCCTCCCCACCCTGCACTGTGTCTCAGGGCAGATCTGTGTGCAGAGGGTCAACCTGGGGAGCCCACACCTTCCCACGGCAGACATGAGAAAACTCACTTTCTCAGCCTCCCTCGCAGCTTGGGTGCAGGCGTAACAGCTGTGTTTGAGAGACAGCAAGGAGGCCTTGGAGGTAGACGTGGGACTTGACGTTCAGACAGGCCCAGGGGCTTGTCTGCAGCTGAGCAGCGGGGGCGTGGCGGAGGCCGAATTTGAATCCAGGTACACTGGATTCGCCAGCTCCAGCTCTTCCCTGGTTTATTGTCCTCACTGCAGGAGGGTTGCGTCACATTGAAAGGCAGGGACGGAAAAGTTAGGAAGTTTGGCCAGTGTTACAAGCTGAGGCCCACCTCGGTGTTTATCAGTCACACACCGTCACCCAGGCCTGGGCCTCGCATTTCATAAGCATGGGCTGCAACAATCCTACAAGGTAGGATGAGCAAATCTGGGTTTGGAATCTAGGTTTGGAGAGAGGGGTCAAGCAATATGCTTGGGGCCACACAGAGAAGGAATTGGGATACAAACCCACTGTGTATCTCCAAAACCTTTGCTCTTCGGAGTACACCCAGCTTCCACCAAGGAGACCCACTGAAGACGTAGCACCATTGTGTCTGACTCTGACCACACTCCGAGTCAGGGTCGGCATCTCAGACTTCTTCCCACTTCCAGATGAAACCCAGAGGCACTGCATATGGTAAGCTCTCAATAAATAGCATGTCAACACTGCAAGAAAGCATAACCAACTTGCAGGATTTTGCTTGAGAATTTCAGAGGCTCAGAGGCTCTTCCTTCTCACATTATTTTTTTCCTCCTGAATATGCCTCACATGAAAACTCTAGCTGACTCATTCTTTGACCTCATTTAGTTCTTCTAAAATGGTGACTTTGAGATGGGGGCAGTGTAAAGCATTCAGTTCAGTTCAGTTCAGTCGCTCAGTCGTGTCCGACTCTTTGTGACCCCACAAACCACAGCATGCCAGGCCTCCCTGTCCTTCACCAACTCCCAGAGTCCACCCAGACCCATGTCCATCGAGTCAGTGATGCCATCCAACCATCTCATCCTCTGTCATCCCCTCTCCTCCTGCCTTCCATCTTTCCCAGCATCAGGGTCTTTTCCAATGAGTCAGCTCTTTGCATGAGGTGGCCAAAGTATTGGAGTTTCAGCTTCAACATCAGTCCTTCCAACGAACACCCAGGACTGATCTCCTTTAGGATGGACTGGTTGGATCTCCTTGCGGTCCAAGTGACTCTCAAGAGTCTTCTCCAACTCCACAGTTCGGAAGCATCAATTCTTCGGCACTCAGCTTTCTTTATATTCCAACTGTTACATCCATAAATGACCACTGTAAAAACCATAGCCTTGATTAGATGGATCTTTGTTGGCAGAGTAATGTCTCTGCTTTTTATGTAAAGCATTATTTCCCCCCATTCCCAACCTGGACTGTAGTGCTTCTCTGTCCTGCCTTCCATCTCTCCATGTATCTATCTGCCATCAATTTACCCAGTCACACACCCATCCACCTGTCCTATTCACTCACTCTGACCTTCCATTTATTCCTCCACTGATCCATAAATTCAATCATTCTCCATCCATCCATCTATCCTTTTACCCACCAATCCATCCACCCACACCTCTATCCACCTACCCAATTTACTCAACTCTATTCAGCCCTCCATTCACTTCTTCATTGATCCATACATTCAAACATCATTCATCTGTCCATCATCCACCTACTCAATAAAAACATACCAACCATCCCCTTTGTGCCGAGCGCTATGCTAGACTAGAAACAAACAAGACTTGGTGCTTGACCTCAGGGTCCAATGGGAGAGACAGATATGAGGGATGGTGTAGGAGGAGCATGCTCATTCATTTTTCCGCATATGTTCCATACCTCCTCCTCTGTGTCGAGTAGCGATAGATGCTGGAGAACAAAGATAAAGGAGACGAGGTCTTGGGCCCACATCCTAGTGACAGAGACAGAAGTAAATATGAACCAAGGCAGGAAGTACTCATTCAGTAATCATTTTCTCTTTCAGCACGTGTTCGCTGATGCCTCCCACATGCCAGACCTGAGCCCTGGGGACACCAAGATACAGAAGACTTGGCCTTAAATACTTGGAACACAGTCCAGGGGAGGAAATGGTCCAATGGAGAATTTCAGCAGAAAGTGATATGAGCTGCTATATGATGAGGGTGAGAGCAGGGGTCTCCGGAAGCGAGGAAGGCGGCCAGTGGAGCTTTCTGGAGGAGCTGGGGCCAGGTCTGAGCCCAGAGGATGACGGGGTTGCCTCAGTTAGCACCACTTTCCCAGGCTCCCCACCACTTTCTTTCCTCCCTTCTTTCAGGACAGGAAGGTCAGACTCAGGGCCCCCCAGGACACCCCCCCCCCCACACCCAGGCAGCCCTTTTGAGGCTAGGACTCAAGTTCTGTCCTGGGACAAGGCCCCGGGCAGCTGGCCGGCCGAACCTTGGAGACAGTCCCACAGTGACCAAGGTCCATTGGTGACATTGAGGTTGTTTGTACAAATGTGCTCCATTTGCTAGGCAGTCTTGCTCACAGAAGAAAAACAACGACTCTGCTGGCATGACGTATGGGGGGTGTTGGGGGCGCTGAGACTGTCTACCATGTATGGTGTCCTGGGGAATGGTGACATGGGTGCTAGTGGGCGGTGTGGGAAGGACAGAGCAAGGCGGAGAGAGAGGTGGCAGGGCAAGAGAGCATGCAGGCCTCAGGAAGGACTCAGGGCTTGATTGGAATGGCAACAGGAAGACTCTGAGCTGGATTCTAATGGGCTAAGATATAAGATTCAAAACCTCCAGAGAGCATCACTTTGCTACACAGCAGAAACCAACACAAGATTGTACAGCAAACCATGCTCCAGTAACAATTAATAATAATAATAATAATCATAACCCCTCCGGACAGCTAGCAGTTAAATCACTTGGATATTCATTCCTTCCCCCAATAGTTGAGCGCCTACTCTGTTCCAGACACTCTTCCAGGCACTGGAGAGAAACAAAGCGGAGTGAATGTAACAAACTCAGACTCCGGCTTCCTGGGGCCAGAGGGACACAGACCCTACAGCAAATAATCATACAGTGAAACGCAGACAGTGATCAGAGCCAGCGTGCCGCACAAGCCGGGCAGACCCAGTTCCTGCCCTCGAGGCGCGGACAGCCAGTGGAGGAGACACACCAGTGAGTGGACCGCACCAGCCCGGTGAGGGAAAGGCAGCTAGGGTACCGTGGGAGCAGGGAGGGCTTCCTGGAGGAGGAGGGTGGGAAGGAGTTGGGCAGGATTGTGCGTGGGGTGAGGGAGGGCCTGGCGGGGGGTGGCAGGGGGAGATGCTGCAGACTTGGGAGAAGGTTCAGATCCACGGCAAGGAGACCCAAGACCGTGGATGCAGAAAGGCAGGGGGGGCTGTCTGCGGGGCTCCCTCTGTCTGTCTCCCCCCTCTCTGCCTCTTCACCTCCGTCTGAATCCCCTCTTTGTCTGTCTCGTGACCGGCCTCTGTCTCTACCCGTCAGTGCCCGACAGCCTCTCTGATTCTCTCCCTGTCTGGGCCTCTCAGCCTCTCTTTCTCTCTGGCTCTGTCTTGCCTGCCCTGGTCATCTTCGCGAGATGTCAGTAAGAGACAAGGATACTGGGGGGGAAAGCAAAACAAACGGGCGGGTGGGCAGGAAGCGAGGTCAGGAGCACAAGGACAGCTGAGCACAGGGCCGGGCGGTGACTGAATGTTCTGTTTTGGAAAGACAGCTCTGGTCAGAGGCGAAGGTGGCTGACCATGAAACTTGATAACCTGGCCAAACTCGGGTTCTCGCCAGCCCTCCGGCCAGCAGCCCCGTGACCCCGTGGACGCCGCACAGAACCTCCCCGGCGCGGGGGGCGGGGGACGGGAAAAGGGCCCACAGGCAGTTTCTCCTCTGGCGGGCGAGACTGGCAGGAAGGGATGGACACAGGGAACGGAGAATTCTTAAGCCAACGCTCAGCATGGCTTAGAACGGGAAAGCCCTGCTTATTATCTCTGCATCCTTTCCCAAGGTTTAACAATGTATGGAGCACTTACTGGGTGCCGGGCGCTGTGCTGACTGTCTCAAGTGGAGCATGGTGGCCTGAGATCAAGGACCATACAGCCAGAGCGTCTGGCCTTGTATAAGTTACTTAACCTCTTTCTTCGTGTGTAGAATGGGACGGAAGCAGCACCTGTCTCAACCCCTGGAGGTCCAGATTAATATGTGAAGTGCTCGGAATAGCACATGGCGCACAATAAGTGCTCAAGAAAAACCGAAGCTATTGTGATCTCAGCTCTGTAATACGAGCAAAACCGAGGAGGCAGAATGAAAGAAAGTGAGAGTGTCATTTGCTCAATCGTGTCCGACTCTTTGCAACCCCGTGGTATGTCCATAGAACTCTCCAGGCAAGAATGTTGGAGTGGGTTGCCATTGCCTTCTCCAGGGGATCTTCCTGAGTCAGGAAGTCTCCTGTATTGCAGGCAGATTTCTTTTTTTTCTACCGTGTAAGCCACCAGGAAAGCCCAGTGAGTCAAGGTTGAATTCCCACTTCATCCCTTCCCAGCTCTGTGACCCTGGTTAAGTCTCATAACTCAACTGGGTGTCAGTTTTTTTTAATCTGTTCATTGAAGATGATTTTTTTGAAAAATTTCTTTGGCGGCTCTGGGTTTTAGTTGCGGCATGCGAGATCTAGTTTCCCGACCAGGGATTGAACCCGGGCCCCCTGCTTAGGGAGCGCAGAATCAGCCACTGGACCACCGGGGAAGTCCCCGGTTAAGATGATCGGGGGTTTGAGAGCTTCTGTGTACGTATGAAATAGATGGAAAGCATTCACTTCACGGGTACAGAAAGTGTCCAGGGCATTTCGTTTTCTGCTCCACGTGCCCAGCAGGCCCCGCATCTCCAGACCATCTACGATGCACTTGTTTCTCTGCTCTTCCCATCCCAAAAAACCACAGCGGCCGGTTAGAGAGGGAGCAAGGCGCCTCACAAAGTGAGTCCTGACAACAGTCTTCCGAGGCAGGCGTTATCAACCCATTTCACAGAAGTAGAAACTGAGTTCTGAAGAGACTAGACAGGCTGCCCAAAGCAGAGGCTCACGAGCACCTGCCCCCCTGGGCCGCCCTCGGTGTGAACTCCTGTGACAGCGCCGCCATTTCCTGTGCCGTCGGAGGCAACCAGGGCCTCGGCCTCCCTCACACACTCAGCTGTGTGTTCCTGCCCCCACGCCCCCCAGGCCTGGCCCAGCACTGGCCTCAGGAACGCCGCTTGTTGTCAGACAGAATCTGCAAGCCCAAAGAGCTGTGCTGTCCCCGAGCTACCTCTCCACATCCTCAGCCTGCGTGCTCATCCTCTGCCAGCCAACCGGAAGGAAACTGAGCCCTCGCACCCCGGACACCTCCCTCCCTGCCAGGGCGAGGTGCAGGCGACATGCACGGGGAGTGTGGACATGGGGACGGAACGGGGTCTGGAGCCCCAGAAGCCTGGGTCCTCGCGCTGTGGCTGTGCGACATTGGACATGGCACTTCCTCTCTCTGAGCCTCAGTTTTCTCATCTGTAGAATGGGCACAATCACCATAACATCCACCCCTTCAGTTGATGTGCAGGACAGAGGCAGCATGGGGTCAGTGCTAGGAGGGGTGGCTGAGGCCCTCTCCCCCAACCCCAGTCCTCCAG